GCCAGTTGATTTTTTGCGAGAAGTAAAATGGGTGGGGATTGATATGAGCACGATTTCCAAGCAAACGCGTCCCGAGGTCGATTCGAATCGGTTGTGTACTAATACTTTGAGAGCGAGTGTCCGAGGAAGACCGGCTGGGTGAATTCATTTGCATTTCAGTATGTTTAATACAGACTGGCCCATTTCACTTCTGAAATTCATGTTGTTGCTTTCAGCTTATTTCTTCACTACACTGGCTGCATCACTTTCCTTGAAAGTATGTTTATATCAACTTTTTTTGTTGAATTTTCCACCTGTTTTAAAAAAAAGAGTAAACGCCAGGATCACCAGTTAAGTAGTGCCGGACAAAAAAAAAATAGAAAAATTAGTTGAAAAAACAGACTATGAGCTGTCATACCTATTCCAAATATTTCCTTTTACACCGTGAGCAAATTAACACTAAATCCCAATTTACTTATACTTCTCAGAAAACATGAACTCTAGACCAGCAGCAGACTGACCGTTAGTGTTTCAACAGCACTGGTCAAAACAGCTTCATAATTTGCCTGCTCCGTAGCTGATTATTTTTCGATTGCATTTTTTTAAATCCTGGAAGAAAAAAACAAATTTTAATGACACTGCTGTGTTTCTTCGGGAAAGACTGGCGCATTGTTCAAAATCATAAGTTGTTTTTGAACTGCACTTTACCAGAAAAGTCGGGGATCAGAAAAAAACATCTAAAGAATCAAAATGTAAAATACGTAGTGAAAGTTGAGGCAGAAATCAAAAAAAAAAATGAATGTTGCAGGAAGAATCAAGGATCAAAAATATGAATCCCAAATCATTCGCTTATTTACGCTCAAATAGGACTGAAAAAGGACCGGGCAAAGCGATTTTTGGACAGCTGCCAAAGCAGCATCAACCCATAGCTGCTTCTGAATCTTTGCTATTTCGGGCTGAAGCGATAGTAGCAGCTAACACCAGTGCGTTACATCGTTTCAACAACTGTTCAGAACTGGATGTCAGTGGACGAAAAGTGCAACGACAAGTGGACGATGGAAGGAAGAGCAGAGTGATAATACAGCGAACCAATGGTCACTTGGGCCCACGTACGATTATATTCACTCGTCTTTGGCCCCAGTAGCCATTCTTATTGTTCCATTGCAAATTTCCTGCAGGTTTGTATGAGTGCGATAAAAATTTATAAATTATGCGTCTGTATGCAAGAACCACATGTACAGACAGGATTATGCTTTGAAAGTCTTGTAAATTTATCGGGATGCGAAACTAGCCGATCGTGGAGGTAATAACATACAGACATCTGTATGTTTCCTAAATTACTTTCTAGCAGTATATGTATTTTATATTCTTAATTAGGAGGTAGTTTTTGAGTTTTTAATCAGTAAGTCTTTGATGAGCAGCGAAACTTCTTTTTGTTTATTGTTTTTGTGCGTTTTTTTACATCTATGCAATGCAAAAACATATGTTGTCGAAGGGCTGCTTTTTGCCAGAATTTTCTCACGTCTCTTATTAAATGCCTTTGAACGGCTGTATGGAATTAGGAATTTTTATTTCTTGTAAGAGAAATCTCCATAATAGAGAAGAATGGAGAAAATGATTGCCAGTTGCATCAGCAGCAAGAAGGAAAGAGACGAAAGTAAATGTCCAGTTATCGGAATAAAACATCAAAATTACCAAAAAACGTTGACTTGAGAAGATCATTTCCAAAAGCACCTTCATCTAAAAATTTTAATTGATCTCACCTCCTTATGCAAATATTTCTTCACAAAAAGTTGTGTCTGAGCAACTAATTTCTTCAAAACGCGGAAGCTTCCATGTCCTCCTAGCAGAAACTTGATTGTCTTAATTTCTAACGACGAAATTCTGCCAGTTGCTTCGATTTGATAAGAAATGCAATTTGCGTCTTATGGAAATTTTTGAAGACTCGGACATGCAAATTTGAAGACTCAGATAAAAGCGTTGATTGGTAGAAAATTTTCATTTGCAGTTTACAGATTCTTATTGGCAGGTCAGTTCGTCAATGTCTCCGCTTTTTCAAATATTCAATTTGGGAAATAAGCTGAAATCGCTTAAAGCAGCAGTTTTCCAGACGGAAGCTTGGGTGAGCTGTAGGTCTGTCTTGTGCGCCTCGATTCTGTTGTTCTGATTTTTTCAGCTTACACTTTTACTGCCAGCTCCGCATGCCAAGGACTAGTGATTGGTACTTAAGGAACGACCATTGCGCACATGAGTTTATGCATCCAAATAACGGTTTATTAGGATTGTCACGAAAACTGTCCAAGATGTTTTGGAAATCCTAGCAACCTGCGTTTTCAAAGCCACTGAACTTGAACTTATAAAATTTCAGTTGTATGCAAACATTTCAGCCTAGCGAATATCAATTTTTTTTCAGTTTTTGAAATTTTTTGGTCTTTTCAACTTTTTTGATCTTTCTTCTTGATTTCCAAATTCATCCAATTCTTTCAGCCTTTTTCGATTTCTTTTTTAATTTGCAAATTTTTTCGATTCTTCGACTTTTCTCAATTTCTTTTTTAATAGCCAAATTTTTTTTAAATTTTTTTCGTCCCATTCTTTTCAAATTTTTCACTTTTTTTTGAAACTTTCAACGAACCCTTGGATGGTCCAGTAATAGAATTAAAAGGAGTCAAGTTTGTTACACGGTTTTTAAACGTGACTTCAATTTTCGCGATATGCTTGGTGAATTGGTCTGTTAATTAACAATATTTCAAGGAATCATCGAGCTAAATGGCAACGGCCGATAAAGGAGGGGTTTGTTTCGTGAAAAGATTGATTTTAAATTAAAATTCACTTGAAGGGTTCAAAGTATCGACAGATTTTGGAAGAAGTAATAAGGAGCATTAAAATTAACTGCGGCACTTTGATTAGGTGCAATTTGTGGCGTGATTCTCCATCTACACAGCTGGCAACTTTTCCCGTTGTTTCGATTAATGTTGCATCGCCTGGTGGTTGGCCTGCTGACGATCCAAACAATTGTTTTTAGTCTTCGCCAACCCGACAGAAGTACCTAATAAGGCCTTAGCCATCCTAGATCTTACTTTGCATGCTGACTTCGCATCGAAAATGTTAACTTTTAGACTATCATTAGACAATAATGATACCTCATTTTCCTTATTTCGAGCCTCACTTCCGAGATTCGATCAGTAAAGTATTTTACAGAAAATTATTTAAGGACAGCAGATTTTTAAACAAATTAAGGTAAAAAACCTAGTTGGTTTCAGCATAAAAAAGACAAGAGTGGATCCGGCAGTGCAAAAATAGCGAAAAAAGATGAAAAAGGAGAAAACGTAGGTGCAAAAAATTTTTTACTAATACTACGTTCTTCCAGCTTCTCGAACAGAGCATTCAGAAAAAGGATGCACCTTTAACTGCTAAATTATCAATTAATAAACGGAAATATTCCCAGCTGGCTAATTTTCCACTTGCTCTGATCATTACTGCTCGATAAGTTGATCAGCATTAATTTTCAGCTTCTAAAAAGATAGAAGCATTCAGAAAGTCTTTAGCTCCTCCAAGAACTTAAGCGTGTAGGTCATGAAATCGTATAGATCGTGGTCATTCATTATGAAACACCTTTGGATGATATCGTATTTGAACTCAATTCGGAATTCGCTCGAACAGTGAAATATCTTATCGATAATTGTTTAAAAGTAGCTGCTTAAATAAATTAAATAAAAACTTAAATATTTTCAGCGCAAAAAGGAAAGGAGTAGTTCTATGAGTGCAAAATTAGCCAAAAAAGATGATAAAGAAGAAAGCGTAAGTTTAGAGATTTTTTTGTTAATATTTTATTTTAACATCCAGTATTTTTAACCGGAACAGTATTTATTTAAAAACTAAACAAAACACTTCCAGTTCAACAAATAAAACCTGCTTCACAGTGGCCGCTGGGTGGAATTCCAATTTTCTCGAAATACCAGCTACCAAATTACACTTTCTTCCGCTATCTTCTAACCCTTCGGCTACACTCTAGCCCTTTCTTTCAGGACCCAGTCGCATTTCAACTATCGCACAGTAAGCTGGCCGCACCACAACCCCGTTTTTATCCAGACCAGCCACTCGTTGACCTCTTCTCAAAAACTGTCCCAAAGCCCAATTACAACGTACCATAAATACTTGATCACAGAAGAAATTTTTTCTCGCATTTTCTCGAGATTCCCCGACATCCAGTTAACTACTCGAAAAGAGAATTTAGAAAAAAAAATGCACTTAAAGTGCTAAAGTAACAGACAAAAGGATATCTCAGCTAGCTACTCCTCCAATCGCTTCGACCAGTGCTCTCTCACGTGGTGGTCAGCCTGCTGGCAAACTTGATTTTTGTTTTATTTCGTGAAGGGATTATCAGTTCAAAGACTTATGAAAAAGCCAAAATTATGCTATGTTATGTAGCTAGTTTCTTCTAATATTTCAACATTTTTTATTGAAGCGATCAGCTATTACTTTACCGCCATCTTGCGCTTTATCGCAGTTGATATTCTTTCCGTGTTTACTCTGGTCTAATCAGCATCACTTTGAAGTTTTTAGCTTGCGGTACTTCAGATCTCTTAAATTTTTTCTTTTTTGAAGTTTTGGAACTGAAAGAAAAAAGTGAGGTCTTGTACTTATCGTCTTTTTCCCCATTTTTAAACGCTGTTTTGGTAATAAGCATCGACTCACTAGTTGCTTCGCCACTTTGCAGATTTTTAGTCGCAGGCGTATGAGTTTTGATGGCCACTTCCCAAAAGATTGATGGATATTTGCTTATATTTTGCAAAGACTGGATCTTGTGCAGTGAAAAGTTGGCACTTACGTGAAGAAAATCTCTTATTGGAAATTAACGGCGTAAATGAAATGAAGAGCTTAAGCTAGCTGATTTTTACGTCTCCGGGTATCCTAGTGACATTAAGTACGGGCATAGAGCAGCGTCAAATTGTTCACGACGAGAACTTGAATTTCCTGAATCCATTCCTTCACGTTGTGGGTTGTAGAACAAGTGTGAACACATGTGGCCGACACCAGCAGACATGGTACTACTGAAAGGAAAGCCACGCTCAGAATGGGTACGACCGGAGCCAGCCACTGTACAAGAAATTGACTTCTATTTGGGCCGTGTTCCGGAATGGTACATCGAGGAAAAATTCCTAAAAAATCCTGGTAGCATTGTTTTTTCTTAAAATAATATTTCTTAAAATTTATTATTTGAAACAAACAATCGTAAGATTTGCTGCCAACAAAATTTTGGTAAGATCAAAGCTTCCAAATTCACTCCCTATGAAGAAGGGAGCGATTTGCTGTTTTCGGAAATAGATGATAAAGATACTGCAGCGGACGGAATCTCATCTTGCACAAGGTCATGGATCG